GGGGTGCTGGGGGGTGCCGGGCTGGGGGCCGGGGTCCCGCTCAGCCTCCTGACCCCCGTCTGCAGGAACTCATCCTCGTTAGCCTTGAGGAGGAAGAGGAGGCCGCTGAGCCCCACGGCTGCCAGGACGAAGACCTCAAGCTTGTAGCCCCAGCGAAGCGCCATCTTCCGCTGCAAGAGAGAAACCGAGGCAGGGGCTGATAACTGACACACGCGGCTGCACCCCCAACCCTTCCCCCGTCCCTGCCCTGCTCTGCCCTGTGGGGGGGCGGGCAGGAGCAGAGCCATCTCCTCCTCCGCAGCCAGCCTGCCCCGCCACCTGGATGCTGCTCTCCTTTCCTGCCCCCTTCACTACGGCCTTGGCCCCAAACCTCGGCTCCCTCCCCAAGCCATGTGTAAGCACCACATCTGAAGCAGCTGGATTTTCAGAGGTGCCATGCGACCATGGCCAGTGGAAAGCCGGCTGGGCACTGCCCTGTGCAGCCCGACACCCCCACCCTCCCTGCTTCCTGCTGGTTGGCACTTTGCTGCAGCTTATTGGAGGGATGGACGGGTAGGCGGGGAAGAGGCGACTGCCCAAATTCCAGTTTGGGGCAGTTCTCCCTCTCCCCCGGCCCCTTGTTGGCAGAGGAGCAGAATGCAAAGTCAGCACCAGGAATCTGGGCCCTCCGTAGCTGCAGGGTTTTTGGAAATGGGATTCCCAACACAGCCAGGGAGAAATGCCCTGCACACCCTGGAGGTCAGCTGCCCACCAGGGGGCCATGCAAAACTCCACAGCAACACAAGGGGCAGAAGTCAGCTGCTCTTCCCAAAAGGGAGGATTTCCATGTAGCAGTATAGGCCCTAGGAGACACAGTAGAGCAGTGCTGGTTCCTCCCTGTAGGGGGCAGTGGTGCGCGCACATGCTTTAGACTCCCCTGCTGTTCAACCACTAGCCAATTAGCCCGTCATAAGACGGGATTTTCAGGTCTCTCCTCCACATCAGTCTTCTCTCCTGAACCTCTGGTCTCTCTCCGTGTCTCTCGCTCTCTCTCTCCTCCTCCTACTGCCTCCCCCTCTCTCTCAGCTCTCCTCCGCCTTCTGCCTCTCTCTCTTTCTCTTTCTTTCTCTCCTCCTCCTCCTCCTGCCTCTCACTCTCTTTCCGCTCCGTCTCTCTGTTTCTCTTCTCCCCGTCCTGCCTCTCACTCTCTCTCCTTTCTCCTCTGTCTCTGTCAGGGATGCACATGCCCGGGTGAGTCCAGCTCCCTGCCAACTGATTCCCTCTCACTCCCGCCCACCAGCCAGTTCCTCCTT